CCAATATATGTTTTAATTTCACCAGAAATCTGTCCATACGTCCATGTGCCTTGCAGCCGCCACATTTCTGTGCGATGACACAGCTTACCTTGAACTTGAAAAATTTACCATGTTAGAACTGAGTGTGCGTACCTGACACACTCGCAATATTCAGCAAGATATCATTTGACAGTAATAATGATGAGTAATGACAGCAAGACTAATGATGGGGGCGAATAGGAAAGTGCATGTAATGGTGAATTCCACCACGTCAGCAAATGAGAAGGCGCCCATTAACCCTAATGACGTCTTTTGTTCCCACTTGTTAGCTGCCTTCACCACATGATACCGGCTTTGACCCTGGTGTGTTTTCACGTCAGGAGTAGCTTTTGTCTTTTAACCTTGCAGAAAAAGCAATAATTTCCTGCTGTACCTGATAGTGGATGGTATATTCGCCAGTATCGCGTCATTTTTAACACAAATATATAATTACAGACAGTTTCGTTTAGAATTAGACGTGAATGATTCACCCAGATTAAAATGACAGATGGCAGTAATTTGTGTATGCTGCAAAAAAAATTAGAGGAAGCAAAAAAAAATGGATGTGCCTTATAACTGAATAAATAAATTGAATACATTTGAATGCTATTACCAGTGATAAGAGAAATAAAGCTGGGACTTGCAGCTTGAACGTCTAAGTCTTTGCAGGGACAGCGACATCCACTGCATAACTCTGTTCCTCAGTGTTCAGTTTAGCAAGTCATTAAAGATGCAGCTGTTAGATAAACGAATGCCAGTGTCTTAACTGTAGTTAGGAACTGGTTCTCCAGTTACACATTAAATTTACATATATCTATACACTAATTACACAAACCAGGTGGAATATTTCTCAGGTAACAGCAGAGATGTGCCTTTAGTATAAATGCCTGTATGACTAAGGGCGGGCAACTATAATGCAGAATGATAGCCCACCGATCGCTGACAGCCTAGAGTGTGACCTTTCTGGGCTATCTAGCACCTAGCAATGAGGCCATGCGGGTTACGGTTGTGGGCCTAGGTTGTGATCACATGTCCAAGATAGCAGGGAAAACAGAATTTGTTTTGAAATGATCTATTATTAAAACCACAAACACGATTAGGAAGAGTTGCAGTCCAAAGCGATGTGTCTGTGTCAACGCGTCTGAATTACAAAACCTACGACATGCTTATTAGCACATTGCAAAATAATGTTTTATAATAGTGGTCATAATGAAGTAAATCTTGTGTTCTCTACTACTGAGTATGGCCAGATATCTGTAGTAATAAACACATCTATGGCCTATAGTTACTGATCTGAATTTCCTGACAGACACCTTGAGCGCCTGAGGGACACTAACGAGCCTCACCCCAGTCACACACACACTCGGATGATGTCGTCTCAAATGAGTGGGTATGTTGGATGTGTTTCCAGCAACATATCAGAAGTTCAGAATAACAAAGCCAACAGTCTTGGACTAATTAACGACTCTCTCTCCAGTGCTGGTGTACTCTACTGGGAAACCAAAATGTTCCCAAACCGCCCATTATGACTCAGTGTAACCAGCATTAGCCGTACCAACTCACAGCTGCAATTAGCATAGTGTTTTCTGTGTTGAACATCTACTTGTGAATTTAGCTTTTGCCCTTGTCAATTGTGTGTACGGAACCAAAAATGATGTACAATGTACAAAATGAATACCTGCATTGTTACAGCCCTTATATTTAGACAAAATGCCGCATTCAAATTAAATGTTCAGCATACAATCAATGATAATATTTTTAATATCTTATTATTATTTAGCCTGGGCAAGTTTCCGTTTTAAGACGGCCCCCCCTAGTGGGAGGAATGCAGTGTGGCCGCACCGGTTGCACCACCCAAACGAAAGCTCCTATTGTAACATAAAGAACATAATTGGATCTCAAAGACATACAGAACAATAGCTAAAAGCAAACTGAATTATTGCATTTTTTTATTTGTCTGAAATGTGTTTTCAGCCGTGCATCGTCATTCGACTCTCATGCAAGAAATCTTATGGCAGATCAATATTATTCCATTATCCATCTTCTGTAACCGCTTATAATCCTGAACAAAAGGTTATCCCAGAGGCAATGGGTGCAAGACAGGGAACAGCACAGGATGGGGCGCCAACCCATCGCAGGGCACTATGGGCACAAGACAGGGAACAACCCAGGATGGGGCGCCAACCCATCGCAGGGCACTATGGGCACAAGACAGGGAACAGCCCAGGATGGGGCGCCAACCCAATAAAAAGTAAATAAGTAGCAGTGGCTCTTCAATCATCACACAAATGAATATGCAGCTGGGACGCCTGAAGACATCCTGAAGAAATGCCTTCCGCATGATCACCAGGAGCAGCACCTGACAATAAGCCCTGGTTATGTCCACTTACCTGTCGAACTTTGTTTGCTTTATCCCCTTGACTGTAGTTTTATTTTTGTGAATTGAATGGTATTTAAGGTCTCTTCAGAGCAAAAATGCTTTGAAGAATGCCTTGTGATTTCAATTAGAAGTGATATTTTTATTATTCTGTTGAGAACATGCAAATGTGCAATTCATAAGGGATGTATGTCGAATATAGAAGGGTTAGATATAGCATAAGCTGAAACAGAACACAGCGGGATTTTAATAATCTCCGGACACTTATTTTTATGTGATATTGCTTCTTATAACGCTGTTTCGTTCCATAGGTGGTGAACTTATCTTTAAAAGGCATTCCTAATTTATAGACATCAGAAAACTGCACTTTGCAAGGGCTCTGCTCTTTTCAGGCTTTCCAATCGGAGCATAGAAAACATAAAAAAATGAAAAGATGCCAATTATGTAACCTCAACAAGCCATTTATGTAACCTCATTTATATTCAGAATCATTCAGAGTCGTTCAACAAAATATGGTTGGATGTTTCCTGCCAATAAAAGTGATTATGGCACGTTGAACTGCAAGAACAATGGATGTTCCAGTGCTTAACTGGAACAAGTTTGATAATACCATAATTCTGCTTAAAGCATCTGGATGCTTGATACTGTGAATAAATTTAGCACCTTAACAGGACTCAACTCAGAGCAAAAAGTATCATTACGTCGATCGAGATTAATTTCTTCTTGTACAATCAAGTCAGCCTTTAATGCTTCGCCGGACCCTTGAAACATAACAGGTCAGTTTATAAGGGGACTTACCAGCATAATGTATGCCTTCCTGCATTTAAATGACCATTATGACAGATTACATCAGAGAGTCAACAGCAGCGTGTTTTTCGATAGAGATCAGTGAACAATTTCCAAATTTGTCTTTGTTTTTCTTCCAATGAGTCATGTATATATTACAATGTCCCCACAATGTGATAAAAGCCTGTTATTTTGACCTTATGGAGATATTTTTCCGGTCCCCAATTTCATAAAAATCTGTGACTGCAAACTGAAAATGCCACCAGTCTTGTATTTTGTTACGTATGGTTAAGGTTAGGGCTGGGTAGGTGTTACATTTTCTATTGAAATGAATTTAGAGTTCCCACTAAGATATAGATACGTAATCTGTGTGAGTGTGAGTGTGTGTGTGTGTTACATTGTGAGGATCAAATGTGTTATTTTACATGTACCATTTCTCATATTTTATTTTCCATGCTTGAATAAACAAACGAATGAATGGTCATGAATGAATAGGTTTGTCTGGATATATTTGTATTACAGCATTTCAGCTTGTTTCACCTGTTAGAAATCCTACATAGAGATACATATGCTCAGAAACAAACATAAATAAAATGGGCAAATTGTCACGACATCACAGTAATTACAATTGTTAAAAATGCAGTAAATTGTTTCACGACTGCTTGAGAATAACAGTTGCACTCAAATCAAGGCGCACAGGCATACAGCAGAGTACCGCTCTGCGAGCGCTTTCCGGAGCGATCACTGCGAGCGCTTTCCGGAGCGGTCACTGCGAGCGCTTTCCGGAGCGGTCACTGCGAGCGCTTTCCGGAGCGGTCACTGCGAGCGCTTTCCGGAGCGGTCACTGAGACGCTTTGGCTCCGCATCCCGTCCAAAGCGCAGAGGAAGGGAAAGGGAGCCGGCCGGGGCTTCCTGCATCCCTCTCCGCCTGTGTTCTTCGGAGTCTTTTGACAGTGGAGATTCACGAGCCACCAAAGCTTTGTTAGCGGCGACAATCCCCCCCAACGGGCAGGACAAGGCGGCATTGTCAACGGTGAGATGAGAAGCGATTCGGCTCCCGCTTTGGAAGAAAAGTGGGCCGATGAGGGGGACTCAAGTAGACAGTAAATTATTTATTGTTGGTTATTTGCTTGGATGACGCTTTTATCTTACAGCGTTACCCATTTATAGAGCTGGCTTTTTCAATGACATGATGTACGCTTATAAAGAGGACTTTCTCAGAAGTAGAATTCCCCGAGGACCTGCCTGGACCGTAGCCAGTCCGCACCTTTAACCCCACCTGAGTCCTAAGCTTACTCACCTCCCCGGCCTAGAATGAAACAGCTACAATTACATCGATAAGACATGAAAGGAGCAGAACTTCTGCCCATTTTGGGAGAACATTAACAACAGAATGTGCCAGTCAGCAAGAACGGTAAGATAAGCGATTAGAAAGTCACAGCAGAGACCGCCAGCTGTGAACGCGCGTGAACAGGTGACGTGAACGTGAATGCACACACTAATACACTAAACACTACTAAAGTAACGCAGCAAGAGCAGGCCCCGAGACGCCATGATTTTATTACATTTATTTAGCAAATGCTCTTATCCAAAGCGACGCACAGCTGAGAGAGGAGGATCGGCCTGTCACAGGCAACTGAAGCTAAGGGCCCTGCTTAAGGCCAATCACAGGATCTGAACCGACAGCCTACTGATCACCGGCAGAGTTCTAACCCACAGAGCCAAACACCACCCCAAAAAAGGGCCCCTAACTCCCCGCTGAGGAGTAAACACCTCCCACAATACAAGAACAGTCACCACAATACTAATACCAAGATCATACATTATTAGCAGACTTTATTACCAAAACACATTTTTCACATTTAATCTCCCTCCCCTAGCCAAAATTCAGCCAATCCCAGACAGCATCTTTTTCAGGTGACCTCTAGCTGTAACGAGCACAATAAAATCAGGATGTAGTCTCAGACTTGGAAATGGGCCCTTCATGCACTTCAGCAGCAGGTGCCTGTAATAATCTTTTTTTCACCATGATTTACATTGTTATTCAAGACACTGAGGCTGGTACAAGTTGTATTTTATTGCTACCCCTCAGCATCCATCTTGGGAATCTTGAGCATCTATAAAAATTAATTACTGTTGTACAAAATGACTTACATAATTTTACTTTATGTCAGTTTACACAGATAGATATAAACTATTCAGAATATGCAAAGACAAAACAGTACAGCTCTTCTTCTATGTTTAAGTTATGTTACCTGACAGTGTCTGTGAAGAACATTTCTGCTTGTAATTTGATGTTTGCACTGTTGCATTAAATTGGGCCATCATAAATCTCCAGCCGTCTTAAAATGTTCCTGTAGCTCAGATGAACATAAAGGGTTGTATAACTTGCAGAGGGAAATAATAGGCTATATAATGCAGTAAAATGTAGACACAGATGCTTATATTTTCTTAGACTAAAAGCTCTCAGAAACACTCCAAGGAAAATGGACTCCAGAGAAGTCAGAACAGCATTTATATTCCCAAGAAAGTTTCTAATTTGATTCCACCTACTGCCGTCTACCTACAGACGATGCTGGGGATATTGTCAGTCCCCCCCCATCATCATCTTCATCATCATGTCTTCTCAAACATAAAAAAAATATTAATTTAGTGAATTCTCTGCTGCAAAGATAGAGATTATGCCTGTAACACATACCCATGCATCAGACACGGACTTTTTAATTTGATACAAAGGACTGCAATCCGACGGGAAGAGCTTGTCAAGAGAGAACAAACTAACGGGTAAATGTCAGTGACGCCGTGTAAGCCGAGCGAGCTTGATCCGTAAGGGGGACGGCGGCGCGAGGAGGGTGCGTCTCCGCGCGGTCTGACATTTGTACAGCCTGATGGATGAGTCTGCGCTCGCTCTTCCGACTTCCGTCCAGGCAAATCGACACACGTTCCGGCGCCGACACTTGCACCGTACGCTGGCTTTTACCCACAGGAAAACTTACCGGTGAAATCAGCCATTTTCCTTTATGAAAAGATCCGGTGATTAGTGTTAGAGCTCCTTACTGCTGTATGCACCGAGTGGTGTGTGATCCCCTTGGGAAAAATAAATTATTGCAATAGCTGTAATCTGTAATAGCAAGGATCAGACAAGTAATAAAGACACGGGATCATTTTTGTCGGTATTATTAGCAGACAGTAAAAAGGAGCAAAAGTCAGCCCGTGTTTCTGGGTAACTAGTAGACAAACTACAGAGTATTGGGAAGCGAAGACTTTCAAAATGGCTGGTTATCATGTGACTTGAAATCCTTAAATAGAAATTAACCCAAAACCTGGATCACTCTTATGTTCTTATAGAAAAATAACACGCCAGACTGTTTGTTTGTCTGTTTGCTTGCTTGTTTGTTTGTTGTTTTTGTTAAGCAGCAGCTTTTGCATTTATTTATTTTTTTAATTTCCAGGTTATAATGTTCAATGTTAATATCACCATGTAGAAATACCTTAAAATACGGAACATTGACTAAGGGATAACCATTGCAAATATATGCAGCAGATCTTTTCAGTAAGATCATAAACATTCTTTTGCAGGATTTCCGGACTCCCTGTATTCTATTGTCCTCAGGCAAGACAAATTGGGGAAAAAAATTCTTGGTGATTCCAGAAAGTGAATTAAAAAAAAAGAAAGTGATAAGTTCTTGCTCAAGGTGCATATGTAGCTCACCTTGAATACATATGACATTGCCTGATGGTAATCAAACTTAACATATTATCATATTTGGTTTTAGGGGAAAGGGTATGTTAATCCATTCGATTAGGAGGATAACCAGGAAGGCCTCGAGAAATTGATTGCTTCCTCTTTATTTCTCTGCACTGCTTTTTAAATGCAGAAGTCGTTTAGGCCATTGCTCCCCCGCGGTGTGTCGCTCCAAAGACACTCGATAGCCAATCGGGCTCCGAAAGGCTACACGGCCCGAGGATGCGGGAATCGTGCGGGAAGATGTGAATTAGCCTAGGAATAAATTACACCGGTGCCAGTGAATTATGGACAGATTCAGCCTGCCTCATTCCACCCCCCCCACCCCCCAGGGCTGAAATAAAAACCGGAGCCGCACAGAGACCCTTTTTCTAGTATTTCAAGGTGACATCCTGCCCTCAAACGCTACCATCCGCCTTGACATATTGGTTTTATATAATAATAATAATAATAAAACTGACCTGCACCAACATACTTATTCATATTTCAGTTCCTTTTCATCTATCATGCCCAGCTATCCAGATTTTGTAATAATGACTATCATTACATTATATAGATCAGTTTCTAGAATCGAAAACATTGTTTCTTTAAGTTTAAAAGCAATTTTGAACTTCAATAAAAAAGAATTCAACAATTTTACCTTTATGATAATGACATGTAAAGAAAAGATAATGAGTGTAAAATAAAACCTTGTTCTTGTGCGGTTCACAGATCCTCTGATACTCTCGCTAGTACGCAAAGTCCAATTCAATTTAGCCATTAAACACATTTCCTTTATTATTTATGACTGCTATACATGCTGCCTATTTGCTGGAATTTCAATGTCCTCTGGGTCTGCTGCACAACTCAGGTAAATCAAAGTGACTCTTTTAGGGGGGCAGAGTATGTAAATCCATTACCCTGAGCTGCAGTGGGTGCAAGAACCATCAGCCCGCTTGCAGTTACGCAGGCCGTATTTTAATCAAAAAATAAGACAAGAGAAAAACAACGGCAATAACGGTAAAAGATGGTAAACAGAAAGAACTTTAGCAAGTGACGGCCGTATCTGAAAGTACGACGGCCAGTTCTGCAAAGACGTGTGGCACGCACATTCACATGCTCTGGTATCCTGTCACTTTTCATCAGTCCCAGGATTTCATTATCATAAAAGCACTTGCTTTTCTGTTGTCCTTCCTGCATCAGGAATGACTTTTCGCCATCCATTCAGCGCTGAGGTGTAAGACAGATAGCTTAGTTCAGCATCTTCGCGCATCTTCTCCCTTTCCGAACATCTGTCAGATGAACATAGTTGCCCACGGTTTGGAGTGTGGCTTTTGCCGACATAGTGGCACCTCAGAAATCTGAAGAGAACCTATTACCAATTTCGATGCGTGATATTCTTCTGCCGGTTTTATGCTATAGCCACTTTGTAACCCTGGGGCCGTGTTCACCTCTCCTAAGCTTCTGTAATATAGTGTTACACAGTTAAGGGCTCGTTCCCCAGTTCCAAGGTGCTCCACGGGAATAATCCTTACAGCTGGTCAAGATCACCTTCCAGTTGTTCTGAAGGTCTGTCACTGCTTGTTTCTCTGTAGCATCTGGAAGTCACAGCAGCAACATCTACATTTTTGTGTTTTTACCTAAAACTTAATCAATTTTTTTTATTTATTTATTTGTTCATTTTTGCAACCATATTTTGCCAAAGGTCTTGGCATTCTTCCGTGAGAAAGAACTGTAAATATTTGTCTCACACTTTAGATTTATCTTGCGTTCCACCAGTCATTTTTTTCCATGGCTCCTTAACACAAGACTGTATATTTGCGGTCTTGTCCAGAGCATCTGTCACATTCACTTGAGCAGAATGTTGAAAAGCGAGTCTCCCTGAACCAGCCTGTCCTTCCCTCCGCTGGACACATCCCACCTTGGGAGCGAAGAAAAGATGCCACACAAAACAATTCCTCTCTGCTTCCTGCCACATATATTTTTCCACTGATGATCTTCTCTGTCCTCAGAGTAACTCCTCACTGCACCGATTATGTGTACAAAGTTCTTATAAGGCACCATAAACACTAAACACTGGAACCTCAAAGAGGAAGGTGAGGAAGTGCTGAATTTTCAGGGGTAAAGTGTCAGACCCCAGCCATGCATTATTGATGTTTTGTATATATGCAGCCACGTAATCATTACTGCCAGCTGATGCTCGACTAGGCATTCAATTTGGTTTAAATTAAAAACAGCAAAGTGTGTCCCAATGCTTTCTCAGGCTTTGGAAATCAAATCTCAGGCTCTAGGTCAATTTGGGGATCAATGCAGGGATCTTGGCAGTACCCACATTTAACATCATAAATACATTTAAATATAAGTGTCATTTATTGTTGTTTTTCATTCTTTGGGTCGCTTCATAATGGGTAGAACCAAACTTGCTATGTAGTGAATTGCCAAACAAAATTAAATATTTGTTAAGTTATATTATCTTATATATTATTTGTTAGGATTAATTATATTTGCTCCACAAGACTACAAGTTTTGACAAACTATGAAGGTGCTTGAGACAGTTGTCATTCAAATGTATTATTTTAAGAAGCAGATTCCCATCTGATAGTTCAGCTAATGGGCACCTAACCCGAGGGCTGCTGGCCCTAAGGCACCTAACCCGAGGGCTGCTGGCCCTAAGGCACCTTACTCGAGGGCTGCTGGCCCTAAGGCACCTAACCAGAGGGCTGCTGGCCCTAAGGCACCTTACTCGAGGGCTGCTGGCCCTAAGGCACCTAACCCGAGGGCTGCTGGCCCTTAGGCACCTAACCCGAGGGCTGCTGGCCCTAAGGCACCTTACCTTGCATGCGTGTGAGAGCCTAAAGGCATGAGTCTCGTGCCAGATGCGACGCTGCATATGTAGATATTTGAGTGTCTTTATACAAGAACATATAGCTGGGCGTGTTTTCCTGACGCTGTAACCACAGTTGCTGAGTTGAGTCTGGGCCTTGGCTGTGAATGACCCCCCCGCCAGGCCTGCAGTGATGCACTGTGGTGCTGATGACCTCCGAATGCATGTTAAGCAGTGCAAGGCTCCCTGCACTACCGCCTGCTTTACGGAAACACTTTACTCCGCTCACAGAACATCAGCTGCCTCCCAAGAGACTCACAAGGCATCCAGACATAGGGTCCAATTGGCTCGATCCAGGCTCCTACAGCCGATATCATCTGAGTCATCAAAATCACCATGCCTGACCTGTCTATTCCGCCGTTGTGCGTTTAGCTCTTCATACAGATCTTTATGAATGCTATCATATAATGTTTCTGCCCAAGAGATGCATTCAGGCACTTTATATTATTATCTACCCATTCGTCATCTAACAACTTACCCCATGCAGGGTCTTGGAGGAACATGTAGCCTATCCTGCTGCTGGTATCTCATGGCTTATTTTAATGTATAGGAAATTTTAATTCTGTCTGCTGATCTCGTTGGGATGTGATGGATATTATAATGGAGAAGACATGTACCTTGACCAAGGGTGCTGCTGCCACAGTTTGAACCAGCAACCTTCAGGTTAAAGCTCTGAAGGCAAATGTCATAAATAATCCCGCTTTTCCAAATTGGGGCGTTACCTTTCAGAAATCTGGACAGAGACTTATGATAAGGTTAGTGTTCTGATAAATCACCACTGATGAACCAAAGGGTTGATTTATAAATAAATCAATCTTTGTCATTTGCACAAGTACATTGGGATTCTTCTCATCGCCGACCCCATAATGCTCTCCATAGCTGGGCGGGTCGCAGCCCACGGTCAGACAGTGTGCTGCAGCCCTGGAGTTGGGGGGGTTAGGGGGCCCTTGCTCCAGGGCCCACAAACATGTGACTGTTCTTGAAACAGTGATCTTCCAATCACAGGCACAGAGACTTAAGCCACTGACCACATGCCGTCCCTATAAATGGGGGTATTTAGCAGGGTAGCGTTTTTGCTATTTAAATTTTAGGACAGAAACACTGTGAAATTAATGTCTAAATAACTCAGCCTTGTCACACAGCTAAAGCATCTCTTTCTTCTAGTACCTT